AAATTGTTTTCAGAGAGGGAAAGCCATGCATTAAAACAAAACAAACACTGAAAATATGGGGATCAATATGCAAGGTAAATAAAGCTGCACATGAATGTTGGACCTTTAATCACTACATTTTAAATTCTAAATCAGCACTTCTCTATAACCTTTCCCAACCGTCCTCCAGCTGTATAGGAATACCAAGGTAATATCAATATATCTGGAGAGCATCCATTGGGGAAAGCTGCTATGAAAACAAAAGCAGGATTGTGTAAATTATTAAAAGGCAAAACCAAGTCCACAAAGGTGCCTTAGAAGATACCATGAAGTCTACAGTGGGTGGAATCCAACCATCAGCAGTCACTTATGTTACACATGTATAGTATAAAATGCTTTCTGCTGTTCCTTAATTTGCTCATCTAAATAAAAGAGTAAGAGTAAACTCTGGATTTCACAAGTAGAGAACTGTTGCTGAAAAAAGACTTATTCAAGCCACCCACAGAGGCTATAGGCCACCATTGCTTTAAAACCTATGTAAAGAGTAAAAAATAGTTTTCCCTTTTTGTACTGCATAATAGGCACCTGATTAACTGTTCTATAATTTCAGGCTAAATGCAGTACTGCTAACTTGATTTAGGGGACTATCTGAACTTCTCCAGTCAATTCTGCACCTCAGAAAGGCAAGTCTCTGGAAATTATTAAGGAATGAGATATAAAGGAAGATTCCTTCTGCTTCAGAGCTGTGAATACCTATTAGCTAGAAATATGAATAAGCAAGTCTCATTATTAAAACTTGCCCTACTCCATCAGGTTAGGGGATTGCAAAAATGGAGCAGATGTCAATTGTTTTGTGGCTTTGTAAGGAGATGGCTTCTTCAGGCAGCCTTCAAATCAAGGTTGCTCTGTACAGGAGTAGCCTCAGAGATAGCAAGCGGTTGACCAACGCCTTTGAAGGCGTTAGATGATACGCCAGGGCTAAGGGAGACTGACGCTGGCGGTCCTCTTCCACAGAGAAGAAAGAGGCCGTCTGCCTAAAACACAATCCGCTCTTCTGCAGACCCAGGCCTCAGCAGCTCTGGTGAAAGGCTGCCACAGTTTGGGGCCCAGCAGTTCTTGGATTGAGATGCCTAGTTCTGGATGCCTCCTTTACTCCTCTCACAGACCCTCCTCCTCCCCCTCCCAGTCCACCAGTCCCTCCCCTCAAGCCTTCAGACCCCCGCCTCCCTCCCTCCTTGCCCAGCCCCACCTTCCTTTGTGTAGCGGGTCCCTATCAGAGAACTTTCACCCCAAAAAGAGGGGGGAGAAAGGGCTGGAAGACAGGGCCACGAAGGGCCCTGGGATGACCGCAGCCGGGGGCAGCCTTCCAAGTCGACTGCCTAGGGCTGCCTTGTGCAGGACTACGGCCGCGGGGCTTAGGACAGCCCCGCACAGGCAGCGGAGCAGAGCAGGTGGAAGGAGCGAAGGGGATCCGCCCCCGCCGAGTCCGAGACAAAGTGCCTGGGGAGGGGGCGTCCGGGCACGGGTACAACTGCTAGGACGAGCCTTCGAGCCTCGAATCGCAGGCGGGGGCTTCCTGAGCTGGTCCCCTCGCCCAAGCAGGGGGCGCCGCCGTTAGGGGCGTCTTTTTCAGCTCCGCTCCGACTACAAAAGACCGTTGGAGCATCTTCAGCCAGTGCCCTCCTTGTATCCCACAAAAAGAGCCGTCGCCCCACCTCTCCCGGCAAGTGGCGTTGCCAATGCACCACTTGGGGTTGCTAATGGCTTCTCCTCCGGCTGCGCCCGCCCGTCCCACGTTCAGGAGCATCTTGCTGGTGGGAGGCGCGGAATTCCCTTGATCGTCCTCCGGGTCTAAACCAGGAGCGTGCAGGGAAGGAGCGGGAGAACGAGTTCCCAGAGAAAGCACGCAGGCAGACACCGCCCACGCCCCCCTGCACAAAGCGGCTGTAGCCACCGCCCCCCTCCCCACCGAGGGGACAAAGAGCTGGATCGCCCGCTCCCCGGGGCGCTTACCAGTCGGTGGGACTGTCTTCCCCGATCACCTCCTGATACGAGGCCAGCAGCTCCAGGCGGTTCACGCTGAAGCTCACGCCAGCCATGCCGGCGGCGACGGAGGGATGCTGCTTCGGGGGCTTGGGGGCAGGGAGCAGTGCCGGAGCCGCGCTCGGATGGAGACAGGCCGCCTGCCTGCTTGCCTCGGAGACACTGCAGCAGCGGTGAGGGAGCCGGGCGGGCGAGGAGCAGAGGCTCCGCCTGTGCGCGCGCCGGGTCCTAGCGCCGTGACGACGCGAGCTCCCCCTCCCACCCCTGCCCCGTCTTTTCAGCACCAGAAACCGCCGCCTCCCGGTTTCTCCACACGTGGGTGCATGGGATCAGCCATCTTGCTTCCTTTATAGCGCTTGGCGAGAGAGTCCGAAGGGCCGAAAGAGAACCAACCTGCCCTGCCCACCCGGCGGGCCTTCAGGTGTACGTTTTCGGCGTGGGAGATGGGCGCTCCCAACAGACCTTCTGTTCTTCACGTGGACCCGCTCAGAGCAGCAAGACAGTCCCTGAGTTAAGGATGCCCGGGTTATAGACGACCCATAGTTAAGAACGGAGGCTGTTGTAGCAACATTCGAGTTAAATACACAATGGTTCTAGTTAAATTCAAAATACTACTTATACAGTATTATACAATAATACTCTGCCGGCTTACATACAAATTCGACTTAAGGACAGACCTTGGGAACGGAACTCGTTCTTAAACTGGGGACTACCTGTATATAGAGCCTCAGGGTGAACTTCAGCCAGGAGCAGCACTCTGCAAAGGCTCTAACAGACTGTCTTGTATAAAAACAACTTTATGGCTGTGATCTGTCCTGAAGTTATATAATTACCAGCCAGAAAAGAACCGACCAGCTAATTTATTCCAAACCTCAATTTTTGATCCAGACAACAGGCGGCTATAAACTCTTAAGGAAAATGGAGTCTTCTCCAATCTTGCACCTCCTGGGTGTTTCCCATTGCAAAGCCCATTGGGCATGATGGCTGTGTGGGTGATAGTAACCACATCCAGCACATCTGGATACCATCAGGCCAGAAAAAGATTAGAGCAGGGAATCAGCCCTGATGATTTACACCAGAACAACAATTGCATCAATACAGACAAGAGCAGCTGCTTTTTTTTTTTTCCAAATCACCCAGCCCCCTTTTTTTTTTTTTTTTTAATTAAGCCCCACTTGCTGCATTTGGAAAAGTACAGGATGCTTACCCCGAACCAGATCTTCCTTCCTATCACCCCTCAGCACTTCTTATAGGCATTAGAAGGGATTTTGAAAGCTTTCTGCCTCCTGTTTTCCTTCTCCAGGTCATTTTCAGGGACTGTGAAGTTAGACACAGGCTCGCTCCCATACAGACTGAGTGGGTGGCAGCTGGGCTGTCATGGCACCTTGCAAAATCCATCAAGTGAGAGGTTTTCTCCCCCTTAGCACTGCATTTCTTTTCTCAGTCACCTGGTTTTTCCAGCTAAAGCCCATGTGGTTTCTAGTAGCAATGCAATCAGAGTGAGCAGCTGTAAAGGTGACCTGGACAAGGTGAGGAGTAGGGGGAAACTAATTGTCCCTGCTTGACATTACCCATTTGTTCTATACATGGTTTCCAAAACCCAACAGGCAAATCTCCTCCCCCCTCAACAAAAACAAGTAAAAAACTGCCAGAACCAGCTTCTGCCAAACTATTCAGAAGTATTTATAAACCAGAAGTCCTAGCAGTAAAGGTATGCTACCTAAGAAGGGTTGGCCTAGTTAGTATTTGGACAGGGGGACCTGCATGGAATATCAGGGAAGTTGAAAAACATCCTAGAAGATGATAATGGCAAACAACTGTATTGCTGCCCAAAAAATGGAAGATTGAATTTGACTCCTGGGGATGACATGGACATAATTTGAGGTGGCCTTTAGTTCTTAGCAACAATTGCGAATGGAGTTTAACAGAGGTTTCCATGTGTCCTACGCTCCTGTTATCATCAACTATCTTACAGTCTGCTTATAGATTATTAACTTTCCTTGAAACAATTACCTCGAAGTACTGATTTAGTGTATGCTTTTGACGATGCTTTGCTTCCCTGGAAAAATCTGTTCTATTAAAAAGTTAGCTCATTACAGTAAAAACTAGCAAGCAGCTGGGAAATAATCTCTCATAAAAATTAAGATCAGTAATCATCAAAGGCACAAAGGTAACATCAAGCACAAAAAAGAACCACCAAGTAGACACCAAAACTGAAACAACCGCAATGGACATAGACTACCTCTAGGTCTCAAAAAAAGGAAGTGCAGAAAGGCTTCCCCAGGTTATAAAGAATTATACAATGATACATTAAAAAGGAGAAATAATTTGTAAATATAAAGATTTAAGATGGGGGAGTGAGGCAAGAAAGGAAGCTTTCCTCATCTCCAAACAAAATTTGAAGTATATGCTACCTCAGCAGGTGCCATGTTTCTAGGAACCTGTCATGGCCAAGCAACGTTGGCACATACGGTCTTGCTGACTCCAGTATCTTCCTTCTTTTAATCCCATTGTGGCTCTTCCATTATTTTCATGAACAGCCTTTGCACTGAACAGACTTGACCCAGAGTTTCTTTTCTTTACTCTCCAAGACTGCTTATTTTTCACTGAACAATTCCATCAGCAGTAGAGATAGAATAAAGTTGAAATCCTGTCTACTTAGGATCGTGAAGATATCCTGTCTACCTTCTTCCAGATTAAGCCATTTCCTTGTATAATTACCCCCAGCATTTTATGACCTGAAATACCATCGCTGCATGAAAAGATGCTTTCTAGCTGTTCCTTTCCAAAATAAAATCCGTGGTTCTGAATTACAGCTGTAGCAGTTAACTCTCTTTTGAAATTCCCTCTAAGTACAGTTAGAGGACTCAGATTAGAAAGAAAGCAACAGCGTTGCATTTTGAAGTTTGTCCATTATTTGCACCTGATTTCTCCACTTCCAATATTCCAGGCTCCTAAACAATCAGAGCCCACAAGGATGAAGAAGAATTAAGACATATTTTATTAGCATCGAAGGTGGCAAAGAATCACAGACTCCCAGCTGAACAGCATGGTTCTGAGAAATACATTTAGAGCAAAACACAAATACCAGGTCTTTGGTAGGGGTGCTTTGGGGCCACCACTGACCTCAGAAGCTGTGTGCTACAAGCATATATAAAGTTGTGTCCCTAGGTAGTGAGTCTCATGTTCATCTCATGATGGAAAAGCAGTTTTTGCTAGTGTGAAGAAGCTGGATCTTGAAACTCTTCTCTCCTCCATGGCACTTAAAAGTAAGCTTTTTCTTGGTCTGTGGTAACTTACAGCTCATTCCTTTAGATAAGCCACTCACTTCCTGTGGTAGGGGTCTAATATTTTTGTTACTAGCAAGGTGGCTTGGAGGAAAAGAGGTTTAGGGTTTGGGTGTTTTCTGTTTTTGTTTTTTTTGAAAAAAGCAATTTCACTGAGCAACATAGCTGGGAATGGGTTTCTACCTGGAAGTGGAAATGTGTGCTAATGGACCAAAGGCAGAGCCAGCCTGATTATAGGAATCCTCTGCAAATGCTTTCTCAGAGAAGGGAGGACAGAGGATTGTTGGTAATTACACTGCAAAGGGGATAGAAAATAACGATAGTGAAATCTGGGGAAAGCTGTTCCCCCCGCCGCCACTTTCCCTGGGGCATTAATAGCAAGTTTTCACATACATCTGAGTTAATGACTTCTAGGGAAGGCCAGCTGATGCTTCCTTTCAAGTGCGCTATCATTTGGGATCCTTTGCTAGGGAGAAACATTCTTGAGGCTTTCTTTCTTTGGCTGAAATGGGCACAAAACTCTACAGTATCCTTCCCTAGGCTGGTGTCCCCTGGAAGTTCTGGACTTCAGCTCCCCAAATGTCCAGCAGTTTTCACCATGAGTTGGCTGGAGTCTGCAAGAGATAAAGTCTAACGCATCTGAAGAACACCAGTTTAGGTAAAAATACAATGGCGTAAACCTCCCAAAGTACTAAAAGGACCCTGAGTGTTTTACCCCTCCCTCTATGGGGAATAATGGTCAAGTGAGGCATCTGGTCTGAGGGCTCTCTCAGGACAGGAAAGATGGAGGCAGAGTTTGGGCAGGCAGCAGCTTGGCAGTTAACGTCTCCTCCTCCGCCTCACACATGGGAGAAAGCATGGCTCTTGCACAGCGGCTTGTCCTTTTTGGAATAGAATGTCTTTCCTTCCAAATTGATCTGGCAGATCTGTGGAAAAAGGAAGTTCTCAATGAGACGAACATCAGTTCCCCGCTCACCCTCCCCCCACTTCAGCTTAGTCATAGAGGCCTGGGTAGAGGATAGAAGGGGAAAAAATCAGCCTGAAAAAACCGCATACCGCTGCCATAAACATCACGCATCACGGTTGCCCCTCAACATTATTTATAATTGTTATGTCCCCATTTCCTCCAGGAGCTCTACAACAGCAGCCCTGTGAGGTAGGTTGGGCTGAGAAAAAGGCTGGCTCTAAGTCACTCAGTGACTTTCCATGGCTACAGAAAGACTTGAAAGGGTCTCCCTGCTCCTGGTCCGACACCTTAACCACTGTGCTACGCTGGCTTTCCATTGTATTTATGTCAGCCAGAGACCTTAATATTGCTAGCTACAAGGCAGTGAAAAAAGGGCCTGCACAGCCATCATCAAGCAGCTCCAATCTCAGTGCCACAGGAAGAAGGAAGCACATCTGAAAACAAGTTTTATGCCAGCAAATCCTGCCCCTGGCTGGGAATAATAGCCTGCAGTTATTTTATAATGCATTTCCCTGAAGTGCAGCAAAAGATAGCTCTAGTAGAATTAGATTAGTTAAAACTTGAGAGAGGGAGAGATGGAAGAAACTGTCTTACCGCACAAACGAAGCAAGTGTCGTGCCAGCTGAAGCCCAGGGCCTCTAGGAACCGATCACCAGCATCTATTTTGAAATCACAGCCACGACACTTGGTTCCAAACATCTTGTCATAATCTTGCACAAAAGGGAGAAACAGGAGGACAAGAAAATGGCATTATTCCTGGGCCAGCATTTTCAAAATGTAATACTGTACTGTATCTAAGCTAGGAGAAGGGGCTCTGCTCGCACTGGCCACCCTAACATGCATTTCCTATGGTGCAGAAGATGGGTTGGCTTGGTCCCAGGCCCCCAAAGCATCTAGGAAGCTGCCTTGCACCATGTCAGAGCACTGATTCATCTAGCTTTATGCTGCTTGAGGAGTGCTGGGTGTCAAAATTCTCGACAGTCCATGCTGGAGTCCCTCTCAGCCCACAGGGAGGTTCTGAGAATTCAGCATGGGATCTAATGCATATAAAGCAAGCCACTGCCTTTCCAAGTTGTTATAAACATGGGCAACTCTTAAAAATCAATTCAAGGTTCATCTGGTTTTGTTCAGAGTTAATTTTCCAGTGCCTGAGCTCCTTAAGCATACCACCAGTTCCACTTAATATCTTTCAGTCCAATCTACAGCTCTGCTATTTATTTCCGTTCTAGGTTTCCTTCTGCTTCTGTTCTATTAACTGGCCTCCCTCCCGCAGCCCCATCTCTCTGCTGTTGTAAGGAAGGCTCTTCGTAAGCTAAGCTCCATATAGTCTAATACCACTGTAGTGCCTGTTGGGCCAGAGATGGCCGACAATTCTCACACTCGTGTCAAGCAAGGCTACACATGCTGTTAAGAATCCTCTGCACCGTCCCCACCCGATTTCTGATGAAAGGCAGCTGCTTGTTCATCTGGGAGAATACCAGATTTGTTCACAGCATCAAATAACGGAGAATGGAGATGGAAGGAGTGACTATTTTGTAAGTGAAATCACATCTCCCCCCCATCTCCTAATGGAATATTCCAGAAAAGAGCAGTATTGTTCAGAACTAGAATGAAAGGAGGAAAAAAAACAACAATTCCCAGCATGCTTTTGGGCATTCTATGTGATGCAGGTACTAATCTATCATCTCCATAGTAACCTAGCAGAACTGGCACTGCCCAGCAACCATCACCAAGGGGTGATCAGACCAGGGTCAGAGGAGAATGGCATGGCAAGTATTTTATTTTGCAAGCTCTTCCTGCTGCCCGGGATAGAAAAGTCAGGGCTAGAAACACACTGCTTGATGTATTTTTCACTCTAGGCTTTCCTTCTTGGTGTAAGCGACGCTGATGCTACAAGGAGTCAGTACACATTCAGTCACATCAGGCTGGAGTGGCAGCTAGAAAGCCTGGAACGTGGAGCCATCCCTCACTTGTTCCATATGCAGTACCTCTCTCACAGTAGGGCTGCCCCTCTTCTATGTAGAAGGCACGATTGCGGATGGGTGTTCTGCAGGCAGCACAGACAAAGCACTGAACGTGCCAGGTCATCTTCAGAGCATGCATAATCTCCTAGAGCAATACAAGAATGTGAGTCACTCCAGAGAATGGAAGCACTTCCTTGGCCAGTAAGATGAGATAATTAGGGGAAAAAAGAGCTTTATGAAGCACTTAGCATTGAACATGCTGTACAGCCATCCTCTTGATAATCCTAGGCCAGGATGTGCTCACATTAGAAATCAGGAGAGAGGGAAGAGGCTGGAGTAGGCAGGGGAGTGGTAAACATCCCAGAGAGCTCGTGCCTGGAGAGAGACTGGGACCAGAAAGTTCTAGCTCATGGCTCTTAGTCTTCATCAGATCAGCATCCACTGCTGTTCCTGACCAGAATGAGGTCCTTAACAAGGCAAGCATATTACTGTCTCATCAGGCACGAGCCCTTGAATTAATAAAATATAAGCTTAAGTCTGGCCATCCAGCTGTTTCTGGACTTCAACTCTCATTAGCTCAGCTAGATCAACCAAAGAACTGGACTGATTGGAACTGTAAGTCAGGAAGAGCTAAAGGGTTAGGGGTCAGCCAGATGTTCCTGGGTGTCCCAAGTACCTAACTTGCAGCATACCTGAGTATGTAACATGCTACCCTGAAGATCATGTTTCACCTGAACTCACCCCTGTAATCTTCTTCTTGCACTTGGCACAATTGGGGGCATAGCGCATGTCATAACACTTGGGGCAAAAGATGGAGCCCTTTTCCTCAAAAAAGCCACCCTCATCAAGCACCTTCCTGCACTGCGAGCAGGTGAACTCTTCTGGGTGGTAGTAGCGTCCCAGAGCCATCAGGTAGCGCCCCCTATTGGAAAGCAAAGAGAAAAGGTTAGCTGTGGATTGGCAACAACTCTCTTGAGTTGAAAAGACTCTCCCCACCAGCCTGCATACACGCACAGGAAGCAAAAAGGCACACTTCTGAGACTCACGTTCACTTCACGCATATCCAATCCTCATCAGCAACGGCAATTCATACATCTAGCTCCTACTCAATCAAGTGACGGGGGAGAAAAAAAAGGAATAGCAGGTCCCCCTAGATGCTGCTAAAGTGCAGCCCCTAGCATTTCTAACCACTGGCCATGTTAGCTGGGTTGCTGGAGATGTCATTCAGCAGCAGAGGGAGGCCATGGGTTCCCCACCCTAGACAAAACATCCCATAGCTTACCTGATGATCTTGCTGCACTGATAGCAGATGGGTGTTTTGTTGGCACTCTCTGGGGCTTGCTGTGCAGCCTGGACAATAGAGTTGCGGTTCTGCACAGGCGTTGGGGTAGCCGGCTGACTGTGCGTGCTCAGCACAGTGCTCGTTTTGTCTGGTGCATATCGTTCAGCGAAGGAAGGATCCACAGCCCAGGGTGGACGACTGAAAGGGCTCGTGAGAGGTGCAGGCTTTGGAGCAGCAGAGCCTGGAGGAATTACACAAGGCATCTGGCACTTCGCGCTTACAGGGTCCTTGTGTGATCCAAAATGTGCAAGGCTAATGCTCTGATTCTGTGCTGGTCACTGGGAATAACTTACCCCTCAGTTTTTCTTAAGGGAAAGAATATGCCTGCTCCTTATCTATGCATGCACAAAGGACAATTTAGAGTTAGCTCACTGTTTTACAGAGAAGGAAAGTTGAAAGCTGTATCGGCTTCCACAATCAGGAAAGAGACATTCCTTTGAGCCTCCCCCCACCAACTTTCTCAAGCGGGTGCCGGGCTCAGGGGCCACCTCTCGAGCTGCCTTCCTCCCGAGCATGCAGGGCTCCAGCTTACCATATCCAGGCTCCACTTTCAAGGGTGGTGCAGAAGGCAGATCCGGTATGGAGACCTGGCTACAAAATAACCAGTTAGTTCCAAATAACCTGGCCTTTTACCTATACCCAAGCAGAGGCTGGTCCTTCACATATGCTTAACAAAGGGGGGAACCCAACCTAAACTCCTAGGCTTCAGGGGGCCCATGGCAGGAATTAAAACCAGGGCAAGGAGCGAGGCCAGATCTCTGTGTAGCAGTGACCCCTATTGGCTGGTTTGGTTCTCCAACCTAGAGTTAAAGGAAGGGGAGTTTATGAAACTAAGCAATAAGCATCTATTCTGAGCCCAGAAAGACCAAAGCTGGCTGAGAGGAAAGGTATTCCTCCCACCTACGTGCAAAGGGAGCATCCCTCTTCTGCCCCCCACAGGACCAAGGAAAAGTCCAATTTAATTAGCCTCAAAAGAGGGGACGTTTATGGAACTACAGAGCACTGAGGACAGGGACTGTCAACTCCCCACACACTTAGAAGAAAGAACAAAGATTCCTCTGCCCAGTTTCCCTTCCTACAAAGAGACAGGAAATAACAACCAACTCCTCTCCAAGCCCACCACATTCCTCCAGTGCAGCCAAGATTGAGTCAGAGGCTGTGGGGGAAGGTATGTGTGCGCATGCTTAAAAGGGAAACATTTCTTAAGTAGTTGTTCTGTTGGGGCAGTTCCTGAGTCATTAAACAATGGTATAGAAACAACGCCTGGTGCTAATGTTGTCGAACAGCAGCAAACTCTACTAAGGCTCCCTTCAGAAGGTAGTAGGACTGTCCTGCACAAGACGGTGAGCAGAACTCAGGGCCCCGTTCAAAACAAGGCACAGAATGTTATCCGATACCTCTGACTGAAGGCATTTGAGACAAAGTTGTTGCAGTGGTGGACCATCCATCTGTCGTGGAGTCAGGCACAATGGTAGTTGGCAACTTAAGCTGTGTGTCTGGTGTAGCTGTTAGGAGGCAGCTTTGTAAAAAACCAAACTTTGCTTGAAAGCATCCACAGAACAGGCTCCATCTTTTCTGAATCACACTGGAGTGATGCTGAAGTATTTTCTTAACATTTTAAGAAAATTAGCCAACCCACTCTTCCTACTCTCACTCCTCTTTAATGATTACGTGAAATATTGCTTTTTTGTGATATCTGATAAAGTATGTTGGAAGCGGGGTAAGGATATGGTGAATACTTTGGTACCAACACTAAATAGGTTCATGCTATTTCCACATGCAGCTCTCGTCAGTGGTGCTTCAATGGACCATGTGTCCACCCCAGACCAACAGTGCAACAGGGCCATGCTAGGTTTCCCCAGATATTCAGGCCTTCTGCCTGAAAAAGGACATCCGGTTTGTCCAGAGATCATTGAGTAGAAAGAAATCATCAGTGCAGAGCTTGGAGGAACATTTCAAGGCCAAGCACTACTGCAGGGAGCTCTATGGCAGGGAAAGAGGTGAAATTAAGAAGCAGTCTAGTTTGTGTGATGAATCACAGAGGAAACCACCTCAGCCCTGGAGCCAGCCTTTTCCAGCAGATGATCCAGGAAGAAGAAAGCAAGATGCTACCTGCACTTCAGCAGAAAATGCTGCCAGCAAGAAGCAGCAGGCCTGCTCTGGAGCAGAAGCTCACCCAAAAATAAGGAATTGAAGAACAAATGTATGGAGTCTGTCAAACAAACTGTAAGAGGCAGGGAATTCTCTTAAGCGGCTCCAAGAAAGGGAGAATAAAACACACACACTCCAGGATGTTCATCAATTCTTTCCCTTTCCCTTTCTTAGGTAGCCAACTGGGATGGGCTGAAACAAAGCACCTCAGGGTGTAAGCACAACCTCCACCCCATGCAAGAACAACTGTGGTATGTAATTTTATCTAAACTCTGCCATTCTGACTGCAAGTGATGGACTGTAGATCTGAAAGTGATCACCCCTCCCTCTTTAAAACACTGCAAAATTTCTTCACATCAGAGACTGTCATGTTTGGGGAATTTCACTTATATTTCTATCACCAGGCAGGAAACAGAGGTTTCTCTCTCCCTCTCTCTTTTTAACACAGATTGTTCCTCACACTTAAGATCCCCCTCAGCAACATCAGCACCACATCCTTCTTCCAAGCTGAAAAGAACAAAGGAATGCTGGCACATTGCAGAGACCATGCAGTGGTTATTCTGCTGTAGTTCAAGGGATTTTGTCCTTTTTTAAAAACCCCCGTGCACTTTTACCTCTAGTCCAATCCTACAATGATTTGCCTAAAGGGCATTTGTGCTCCATGACAAGAATAGAAGGCTCAACCAAGTTTCTTGCTCACTACCTAATAATGTAATCCTAGAAAATAATGAAGAAAAGGAAGCTCCTGATTGCTGATAGGCTCCTGTATCCCAAGGGAGCCAAGATAAAACAGCACCTGAAAATACTTGTTTATTTCTTAAATGTATATACAGCCATAACTTCCAAGGACTCACAGCTGTTAATAGTGCAATAAAAATCAGACAATACAATAATAATTAAAATATCCATAGTAAAACACAAAATATAAAGAAAATGGGGAAAGCAACAATAATCAATTCATAAACAACAGTCTAGAACACTGTTTCTCAACCTTGGCAACTTGAAGATGTGTGGACTTCAACTCCCAGAACTCCCCAGTCAGTTTGCTGGCTGGGAAATTCTGGGAGTTGAAGTCCACACATCTTCAAGTTGCCAAGGTTGAGAAACAGTGTTCTAGACTGTTGTTTATGAATTGATTATTGTTGCTTTCCCCATTTTCTTTATATTTTGTGTTTTACTATGGATATTT